CAGAGGTAGGCAGGGGGACCTGCCTGCCGACTGCGCAGGCGGCTGGCGAGCGGCCGGCGGCCGTGGGTCCTGGCAGGCAAAGTGCCCTTAACTCTCTTGGCAGCAAAACCTCGGAGAGGTATTTGCGAATTCGCTTATTCTGTTTTTTCTTCCCTCACTTCCCGATTTATTCTTCAGCATTTACAGTAAGTCTCATTGATCGCAGCATTAACTCCCGCTGAAGAGGGAAGGGATCCATTGCAGTTAATTGGCACAGACAACGAGACAGGCACAATCCTGCCCAGCGTTCCCTGCCGCCCTCCGACAGCGGATGGTCCTGACCTCACTGCGGGGGGCAACGCTTGTTCCCTGAGTCTGGGATTTGCGCGGCTCAGAGGCACTGCGCAGGGGAAGCAGGGACTGTGGGCGATGCACGTTGGCTCTCACAGGCCTCCCCGGCACACCGCCCTACCTGCAAACACCCCTCACCGAGCCCTGGCGTCTGCAGGACTGCATACCCGCTCTGCTGCGTCAGGAGCTGCTTCTGCCCCTGGGACGTGTCTGCTCTGTAAAACTGAGATACTGGTATTTATCTCCACAGTGACACAAAAGCACCGTGACTCCCACAGCGAAAAGAAGAAACAAATGCATCTCATCTCTAGCTTAATTTCCCAGCTAATGGCTCCCCCTCTGCAGAAAGCGCTCGCGGGCACACTTGCACACCTCTCCCACACTCGCGTGCCGGCCTGCCCAGCCAGCACAGCCGGAGCTCGCCCTGGCACGGGCGCCCGGCAGAGCCGCAGGCTTACCTAGCCACACAGCTCACGCGGCGAGAGAAAACACGGGGTAGCTACCCAAAAATGGGACTGACCGACCAGACGTTTCTGTGTGGCCATCATCAGCGCCTGGATAAACTACTGCTGTAACCCTCCGACAGCCGTCACAGACACTGGGCAGCGCCTCTCAGAAAGGTGAAGATCGTATGGACATGTATTTTTTTTTTTAGTTTTCCTCTTGACCAGTGTGCCCAGACCTCTGTTTCTCATTTCATTTTCCAAAGAACAGATTAAAGAGTTTTATCAAACTGACCTAAGAGGAACATTTGGCTGTCGGGATGACTCCATTGCACAAATGTTTTTATCAAAATAAATCTGCAGTTACTGCATTGTCTCAGCAACTGCTGCTACACATCCCCAAATTCAGCAGCCCAGCCTTTTTTCGCGGCTGGCTGTTACCCCAGAAAGCACTTACGGACTGTGAGCTGTCTTTGCTGTTATCCCTCGACTTGTTCTTTGCAAGCCTCTTCTTCTTCTTGTGCAAGGGCCTCGACTCCAGAATCATCTCCTCCAGCTCGAAGGTGGGGTCGCAGTGCAGGCGGCCCTTCTGCCGGGACACAGGACACGACACCGCGCGCGTCAGGCACAGCAGAGACCCTCTCACAGGAAATAATACACTCAGAAATGACTTCTCCGCCAGCAAGCCTCTGCTGAACGCAGCGGTTCCTCTAACGATGAGAACCGCCCCTGCTCGGGCCGGGACACAGGTCGCTCCTACTCACATTGGGGACGAAGCCTGGCTCCATCTGCTTCTCGCAGACGTCGCTCCAGACCACGCCGGACAAGTACGCCGAGGCCTGAACGTCGGCCAGGCAGGAAAAGCGATGCTCAGGGTTCACTGTCAGCAGCTGGGGAGAGAAAAGCATTCCCATCAGAGGAGAAAGAAAAGGAACCCAGCATCATCCTGCC